AAATTAGCCATTGGGCTTTTTCTACATATATATATATAGACACATACACTCATTATGGATGTATGATTATCTAGACATATGATAAAAAGGGTCAGTTGGTTATATATGCCATGCCCATTATTATTTTAATGGGTGTTGTATGGTATGGCTAACATAATTTCTGAAATTTAAAGGGTTGGCTTGCTTGGATACATACACACACATATATGCATCTATATATATATCCAAACATGGCACCTTGTCCATACCAAAACCACAAGTGGTTCCAAAACTAGAAAATACAGAAAAATACAATAGACACATAAAGAAAAAGCCTAAAAATGCTGAAATACAAAGTATCAGGTGGCTAGAGAGCAACCCAATTTGATTTTGACTCTGCCTCTGGTTCTAGGGAAGGAACAAACTAATAAATTGGTAAGATGATTGTCATTGTCAGTAGTAACCAATGTATAATCCAATATGTTCCCTAGCTGGAGTCAGCCTCCATTTTTCTTTTTCCTTCTGGAACAGACTTGTCATTTTTCTTCCGAAGATTGGCTCACCTGATATTGGTCTAAAGTGTACTGGAGATGTGCAGATTGTTAAACATTAGAAGCAACGACATGTTGTAGACATGTTGTACCGGCGACATGTTGTACCGGCTGATCTGCTATTGGATCAAAGGAGCATTTATGTATGTATTGGCATGTAAGTGAGTCTTCTTTAATAAAAGTGGGTGGTATAAGCACAACTGAATCTATAGTTGTACTATGTTGTTTTTCTTCAAGAACTGCGGCATTGGGTAGAGGATCGTGTTGCATCATCTCAACAGAGATAATAACTGGTTGTTCTTTTGTGATATTCGGCCTTAGAAGATGATGCAAATGATAGCAAATAGTAGAGTTGTGACCAAACATACTACAATGAGAGTAATAAGGAGGGTGTGGTTCGATTTCAACCTTTTGTCAACACCCGTTGTGAGTGATTTCAATTCACACCTCATCCGGAGTAGGTTGAGTGATATCCCTCTCAACTAACACACAAACCACAGATGATCTGATGACAGCAAGCGTAAAACTATCAACCTTGAGATGCTTACCGTAAGCAGTTGCTAAGGAGTATAGAATTTCCAAATTGAACATATGTAATTTTAACCCCGAAAATTTTATTCAAACTGGAATGATAAGGGACTTCGTCTTTGGGTCGAAACTAACACTTCAGAATTTTCATATTACGATTATCGATCTTGATAACTTTTCGAGAAAAAATGCAGGTATAATCAACATCATGAGACAACTGAATCAGTATGTGCCGACCATCAAGTAAATCAATATTAAAATTGTCGAATGATTTCCAATTTTGGGTTACAATAAAGAAATTTTCCCACTAGAGCAAAACGTCCCACTAGAGCAAAACGTCAAGGTCAAGATGACGCGAGAGTGCTGATTTTAACCTATGTGAGAATAAGAGCAAGCTTCCCATTTCATTTCCCCAATTTTTTTATGGAGTGCTTGCCACCACCTTCAAGAGCATCGTGAATTTATTGAGGAACATTGGAAGATTTACCTATACAAAAACCAGTCTCTGCTGAAGGAGAACGAGTAGGAATCGAGAGGTCCCCAGCAAGTGCAGTAGTATAGGAACGGATAGTCATCTCTACTTCTGTCGGACGGGAACCAAGGAGACATCGTTTGAAAGGAAATGCAAAAACTCGGGCAGAGCAGTGCGACAAACGCGACCAAGCGAGCAGAGCAGCAGCTCTGTCGCCAGACCGAGAGGACTACGATGGAAGCATATTTGATAGATAGACGAGGACGTCGTCTGGAAAGAAATGCGAAAACTCAGCCTGCCTTGTCGTCTGGAAGGATGCGAAGACGCGAGCCTACCGCTAGGAACACGACGAACGTGAAGCAAAAGCGACGATGCGAGCACCGACGTCGACGAAGACGAAGCAGAGAAATAGAAACGCGAGAGAGATCCGTGCAGCAGAAAGCTAGGGTTCGTCATGAGGCGAAACCTTAGCAGAGGGGAACGACACCATGAGGATAATATATATATATATATATATATATATTTTTTGGGAATGTCCAAAAGATAATATATTAAATCATGACACCCTGCTCACACAACAACCACCATATTAAATAGTACCAAAAAGAGAAAATACATAAAAATAGATGAGAAGTCTAAATAAAAAAAACTAAAAAGTGTCAAAATACGGAGTATCATGTAGATAGAGAGCGACCCAATTTTGTCTTACATCTGCGTATAGTTCTAAAGAAGGAGTAAGCTAATAAATTAGTAAGATGAGTGTCATTGTCAACAGTAACAAATGTATCATCTAATAAATTCCCGAGCTCATCTCCATTCTTCTTCTTCCTCATGGAATAAACCTGTCATTCTTCATCTGAAGATTGGCTCACCTGATTAGTGAATTGGTCTAAAATGTATCGGGCATGTGTAGGTTGTTGAACATTAAAATCAACTACTTGTTGTACCAGCTGATTTTTATCGGATCGAATGAGTACTCTTGTGTGTCTTGGCATATAAGTGGGTCTTCCTCAATAACAGTGAGTGGCATAAGCATATTTGAATCTGTATCAGTAGCATGTTGTTCTTCATCTGAGATTGCGGTGTTGGAAAGAGGATCGGGTTGCACCTTCCCAGCAATGATAGTAGGTGACTGATCTTTAGCAAAATTCGGCCTTAAATGAGGATGCTAGCAACAACAAATAATAGAACTATGGTCAAACGTACTATAATGAGAGCAATAACGAGGGTGTGGTTCTATTTCAACATTTTGTCAATGTCCGTTGTGAGTGATATCAATCCATATCTCATCCGGAGCTGGTTGAGTGATATCTCTCTCAACTAACACGCAAGCCACAGAGGGTCTGGTGACAGCAAGCGTAGGACTATCAAACTTGAAAGCTTTCGGTAAGCAGTCGCTAAAAAGTAGAGAATTTTCAAGTTAAACAGTTGTAATTTTATCCCGGAAACTTTATCCAAGCAGAAATAATAGAGGACTCCGCTTTTGGATCAAAATTGACAGTCCACTTAAAAATTTTCATAAAATAGTTGTCAATCTTGATAACTTTTCGAGAAAAAATGCGAGTGAAATCGACATCGTGAGATAATTGTATAAGTATATATCGACCGTCAAGTAAATCAATATTTAACATGTCCAATAGCTTCATAGCATCAAACTCTTTCCGAATGATCTCCAGTTTTTTGTGACCATAAAGGAATTTCCCTCTAGAGCAAAATGTCAAGAGGACGAGAGAGAACTGGTTTCAACCTCAGTGAGAAAAAGAGCAGACTTCCCATTTTTTTGTCAAGTTTTTTAATAAAAGTGTGATCACCACCACCTTCAAAAGCATCATGGAAAGATTGAGAAACATTGCAAAACTTGACTATATGAAAATCAGGCTCTGAACCTGAAAGAGGAGCACGAGTAGAAATAGAAAAGTCGTCGGCAAGTATGTCAATCCCAAAACGGCCAGGCAAACTGCTAAAAAAAGGTGAGCAGAGAAAATTTCTGTTGGGCAAGGCGACATAGACTCGTCGAGTACAGAGACCTGTCGGGCAAGGCGACAGAGGCGATATCGAGTACGGGAACTTTTTGTTGGCGGGGCGAAGGCGTCGTCGAGTACAGGGACGACGCGAGTCGCAACCTAGCGAGGAAGCGTCGTCGACAGCGGGTTAAGAGACGAAGCGCGTGAAACCCTGCATCGTCGAAGCAGACGAAACACATGAGCTGGCGGAACGATGAAAGCGACGAAAACGATAGCGTGAAACCCTTGGTCGTCGGGCACAACGAAGCCGGTGGAGTGAAGCCGAGAGATTCAACTCAAGAATCCCCATCAGGCCAAACCCTAGCAGAGCTGCCCTCCATCTTTGGAGAAAAATTTGCGTAAGTAAGACGTACGCAAAGCTACGTACGTTGGAGGTTATTCAGACAGTATTGGGGGTTATAGGTAGGTTACAGAAATATTACAAGATGTCTAACCTACCTATAACCTCTTATACCCTCTGAATAAACTCTGACGTACGCAAAACGTCTTACGTACGCAATTTTTTCTCCCACGCACACACACACATACATGTTTGTATATGTAGATACACACACACACACACACATACACATACAAATGTGTATGTGTGTATGTGTGTGTGTGTGTATGTATGTGTGTATGTGTTTGTATGTGTATTCACATATACCTGTATGTATATGTATGTGTGTGTATGTGTGTATGTGTTTGTATGTGTATGTATGTGTGTATGTGTTTGATACAAATGTATATATGTTCTTTGCGTTCCCAGCTCAGTTGATAGAGCATCCGTTTTGGAGGTGTAAGTTCCCTCTGGTCTGGGATTCGATTCCCCCAGAGTGTAGGGCGTGGCACTCGAATTCTAGGGGCATGAGGGATGTCCAGGGCTTGTATAATATTCTTCGGCCATTCCTTTTTTTAAATATGTGTGTGTGTGTGTGTGTGTGTGTGAGGATGCTTTTAATAGTCATTTGTCTTGCACTATACTACTTTGAATTAAGAGGATACATGGCCCAATGGTTGAAATAGAATTTGCATTTAAAATTTATTCGTTCAACACAAATTATTGTGCAGGTGTAAGTGGGCTAGAGGTTTCAGGAGAAGGTTTTCTCTCTAATGACAGGTGTTCAAGCCATATGTTTTAAGATTTACCACTTACCATTCTAAAGGGAAAAAAAACTACTACAAGAAGTGATAAATGTTATTAAACAAGCAACGTTATGTGTAAACTAGAATCCGACCAATTCCTCAGAACCCCTCTTCAATGCTCTTTAAAGAAAACTACTTAAATTCAAAAACCATTAAACCATTCCCAACCAAAGAAAACAAAAACTTAATATGGTCCATTTGCATCCCCATGCTCTCACTTGAAGAATTCTTGAGGAATAAACATGAAAAGGAAACAAACATTGTAAACGGAAGGGAAAAATGAAGAAAGATAAGGAAACTATGGTTTCTACGGCGACAGACCCAAATTACGGAGATGCCACGGTGCCTCGCAACAGAGACGGCGTGGATGACTTCCGGAACGATGGCCTGACCACCGGCGACATGCATCGGACCACCCGGTAAAATGAAATCGTTCTGGGGAGAGAATAGAACAGATTAAACAAAACCTAATCGAAAGCCGAGGAATAGAGATGCGTGTGAGATTAAGAAGATTGGGATGGCAAAGTGATGTTAATCAGACCTGCATGTCAATGACTAGCATCGCCGTCTCGTTCCACTTCCCGGCCTCCCGCGCCGCCATGAGGCCGGCAACCAAAGTTGTCATCCATGATCTCCCTGAACAAAAAAATATTAGGTGGGGAAGAACTATGTCCGACGAAAAATTATTCCATACCGGTGAGGATGTATTTGGTTGGGAACAACTATTTTTTTTTTTTTTTTTAACCTCTGGATCATGTGATCTATGATCAGAATCGGAGATACATGCGGCGTCCATATACAATAATTTCTCATATCTAACATAGATAAATTTATGTTTTTAATATAAAAAAATATATACAAGGGATAGCAATTTAACAATTTATATTTTTTTTATTAAATAGGATCAAGAATTAAAAATCGTTATTTTATTAAAAAATATTTTAATCTTTTATACGAAAAAACTATAATTAATAATGTTAAAAAGTAAAAGAAAAAAAAATATTCAAATGATACAACTATTTTCTTAAAGTTATTTTTAAAGTAATTTTCCAAAACGATCGAAAATGTGATTTCAATGTTTGGTGTGATGGAAGATTAATGTAATATTAATATTTTGAATGTTATATACATAAATAATAAAATTCAGGTGCGAAAACAAAAATTTTAATACCCTATGAGATATGTATGCATATTTTAGGTTGTTTATTTAGTTTCAAGGATAACTACAGACGTACTATCTCGAACATTAACATTTATAAATTAATCATGTTGGTGATTTCTTTGAATTGCCAAAATGATGCGTTCATGCATACCATGATCGAACTATTGAGCGGTGTTTGGCTGTGATGGAAATTTACATTAATAAAATTTATCAAATCCATCAAATCCTGAGAGCTCGCGAGCAATGACGGAGTAAATTTGTTTAATCCGCGAATTTACGTTACATAACAAACATAATGGAAGAAAGAGAAGAAATGAGAGAAAATTGCACTCAACGGAGAGTTAGATTTAATTTTTACTTTTTTTTTTTTGCGGTTGGCTAGATTTAGGTTTAATTCATGAGTAAATTCGGTTAAAGTGCTCTACCAAGACCCTCTTGAGAATATGATAAAAATTAAAAGGGGTGATTACATACGGGGCACCCAAACATTGCTATTTAAAAATCAAGCACCTTCTTTCATAAATATTTCAAATTCTTGCTAAAATATTAAAGGTAATCATAAAACTCCGATCAAAATTTTTGTTTTTACCAAATTCGCAATGATTTGAACCTTTAAATTCAACTTTTTGCCAAAACAAAATCAGATGCCCCAATCCTCTTTCTTAGGTGGCTATTTCCAGTGCAATCAATCTACAAGGATATCTTATTCACCTGTTGAATGTCGCTTTCTTGAACCCTTTCACATTATTTTGGGAGAAATATTTGAGTACAGAAAGTATACGCAGAGTTGCGTATATTTTAGGCTATTCAATGTGTATAACTATGTTATACTTAAATTATACTCATGTAATTCTTCCTATAACCTATAACCTGTAACCTGTAACTAGTTGTACCCTCTAATGTACCATCTAACATGTAACCAGTCTGGTAAGCAAATATTTCTGGCATTTTGGGGAGAATATTTAGATTTTCTTGTCTCGGTTCGATCAGCTCGTCTTCTTCAAACTCGCTCGTTTCTCGTCCATCACCTTTTTTGCAGTCGAAGACAGCGGCTGGAAGATGAGCAGATTGCTTCTCCACGGGATGAGACTGCTCTCGAGGGGATTTTGTTCTCTCGGATCGAATCGGATCAGTGTCTGTATTGTTGGTAGCGGCCCTGCTGGATTTTACACAGCCGAAAAGGTTCATGAGAAATCTCTAAACCTAGTTTTCGTGCATAACTTGATCTATATTATCTGTGACTTGTGAAAACTAAGTAACTTTTTATGCGAAGCGGAAACTTCAATTTTAGTCTTCTTCTTATAGAGTAGAATGGACCTGTGGTTTTTGCAGATGTAGGAGTTGTGAGATTGGCTTTATATTTTGACTGTTTATAATACTTTTATTAAGTTTCCCCACCGTATTCTTTTCTCTTAAATCCAATGCGGCAGATGCTGAAGGCTTATCAAGGGGTGGAGGTTGATATTATTGATCGATTGCCTACGCCATTTGGACTTGTCAGATATGGGGTTGCACCTGATCATCCAGAAACGAAGGTCAGCATGGGTTGTTCACTGCTTTTTAATTATTGATATATATATATATATATATTGGTTAATTTTTCCCCACACTTCATTTGGATGCGTTCCTTTTAAATTTACTCTTAAGGATTGGCCCGAAGCAATTCTTATAAACTTATATATCTAGCCTTTAAATTTTAATATTTTCTTTTACAGCATTCAAAATTTTAATATCACATAAAAAATACCACTAGTCTTATTTTATCTTAGGTGAAAGAGAACATTTCATGCATATATTTTTATGTGGTTATGACCCTATGGTATTATATATGTAAATATCAAACTTTATGTATTAAATACGCTAATACATAAGACTTATGTGGTATGCATGTAAATCTCCCAAAGAATTATCTTGGATGATTTAGCACAGCTTATGATATTTCTTCTATTTCCATTTGTTTTAATCATCTGATAAGTTAGCATGTAGATGCAGGCATGTAAGAAAATTGAATAACATCAATATTTTATCAAAATAAGAATTAAATGTCATTTATGAACTTGCTATTTAAATATGCTTCCAAACCAAATCAAACATTTGGCTTTTTCAAATATCATAACTAAACATAGCATGCGCCAATGAACGAAATTTTAAAGACTAAGAGTAATGAGTTATTTGAGTTATTTGAGAATTTCCTTGAGTTAAGCATGTGTATCTAAGGGTTTTGTTTAGAGAAATCGTAACTTCTTGTAAAAAGGATTGTAAAGCTATTATGAGGAAATTAACTTTTTTCAAAGCCAGTGTGTGTTATAAAAAAAATTTTTTGAAAAAAATTCAACATCAACATCCCACTATAAAAATTTCTGAAAGGTAAAAAGCAAGCAGTAGCCAAATAGTTGTGATAGCTGTCTAAAAAATAAAGTAGTGAAAAAGCTGCCCCAAAAAGGCCATAAGCGTGATTTTTAGGATATTTACATAGATGACTATGAAAGGGTCATAAGGCCAATTCTAAATAGCTTGTATTGAGCTACAGGTGATGTTGATGTGCAAACTATTGAATAAATTGTGTCAAAGTAAAGATTTAGAATTAAAATTGAATGGCCACAATTTGAAATTATGAAGTCTGTGAAGCACTTCAACGATAAGATATTTGTATTTTAATAGTGAGCTATTTTCAACTTTTTTTGTTTAGGAATAAAATAATTAAATTAAAAGTCACTCTTATATTTATTAGCCATTGTAATCCAACTTCATTGATGAGGATTAACAATAATTCAATTTACACTTGAATATGGCAAAGAATGGTTGTTTACTAGTGTTTGGCAAAGAACAATTGTTTGGAAGATTAAGAAATGAGACATATTTAGTTTTAGAGAGGGCTCTTGGGTGGATCAATGCCAGGAAGAAAATTTAGGATTTTAGGCATGGTAACTTAGAGTTTGGACTTCCCCTAGTCACTTGGTTACAACATTGCAAGAAAACCTGCAACATCAACGTCACAGACTTCCCCTAGTTACTTGGTTGAGAAAAGGATTATTCTTTAATACCTTGTTACGAAGAAAGTCTAAACTCTCGATTAGGTAAGGAGAATTTATGTGTTTGATTTGCCATTTTTGTGTTCTTTGCTCAAGCAAAGATAGAGGGAAGAAGAGAAAGTAAAAATAATTTTTTGATTTTTTGGCAGAAATTTGGAAACAGGCTTTGTCCCTTTAAAGGCAAGGCATATGGAATTATCTTCATGATATTATTCTAAAGTCATTGTGATGTTTCTATGCTCTAAATAGGAAAATTTGGTGAATATCATGTATTATATGTATAGTAATGCAATAAACATAACGAATTAAATGGTAGTAAACTAATGGGTAAACACCACACATATCATTAGGCATACGAAATTATCTTCATAATATTTTTCTTAAATCATTGTAAAGTTTAAATGCTCTAAATAGAATAATATAGTAAAAATCATTTCTTTTCTGCATAGAAATACAATAAACAATTTGAATTAGATAGCATTAAATTAAACGCTGCAAGAGATCATGGCATACTTAGCGATTTCAAAATAGCTCCACCTAATTGATATCGGAGTTAACCCAAACATCAACAGAAAAACAAAATATTATTATTGAAAAAGCAAATAGGAGATTGCAACCAACACACTGAAATGGGAGATAAGAACAGTCTTGATACACAAACTCAACTAGAGGCCAGTCCAAGGGCAGGGTAGGTCTACTAGGTGGGCTGGAAGTAGTGGTAGGTGGTTGGAATGGGTAGGATGGGGTGTTGGAGGCTGGCGGTTTCAGCATATAAGGTTTCTGGGAGGTGGATGTGGGGTGATATGGCTTGTGGGCTGCCGAAACAACAATAAAACAACAAAAGTAATGAGTTACGGGGCTACGACAGTGATGTTGGATGGTTGGACAACACTAAAAGAACAAGGAAAGAGTTGCGGGGATGTTGCAATGATGCCAGGCGGCTAGGCAGTGGTATAACAACAAAGGGAATGATTTATTGGGCCACGACAATGAAGTTGGAGAGCTGAACATCTACAACACCAGCACCGCATTACAACCATCATATTTATCAACAACATCTACACTACCTCATCACCAACACTATTATCACCACCTCCACACAACCTACAACCAACATTAATAGCACACCACCACCATATCACCAAAACACCAACACTACACCACGTCCTCCACTCCATTCCACCTCCTCCAAACCACACACCGCCAACCACCAACCACGAACATCAATAGCACAACACACCACCCCACCACCTCTACATCACCTACCTCCACATCACCATACCACCTCCTCCAAACCCATCACAACCAAGTTCATAACACACTAACACTATGACACATCGAACAACATCGTAATTTCGCCATGACAACTACATCATAAGGAAACCAAGCCATTCTTCAATTTCCACATTATTTCCAAAAATATTTCCACATACCACTAAAATCATAGAACCATAATTTCCACATAGCAAGAAAAATCGCAAAATCAACATCACAGCACAACCATCCTCCAAT